CAGACTCCTGAGGCTTTTCTTGATCCTCTGGGATGGTGAAAACAGCCTCCCCAGACTCCTGAGGCTTTTCTTGATCCTCTGGGATGGTGAAAACAGCCCCCCCAGACTCCTGAGGCTTTTCTTGATCCTCTGGGATGGTAAAAACAGCCTCCCCGGACTCTGGAGGCTCTCTGAAAGCCGGAAACAGACCCATTTCCAGCCTTCCCGAACTTCCAGGAGGCCTGTTTTTTGCCCTTCCTGAACCTTCGCCCACGCCCTGCATTACCTGCACCCAAAACGGGCCAGGTGGGGACTCTTGGGAGGGGCAGAGCCAGCCAGGAGTGGGATTTGGGGATTCTCCAAACTGCACAGATTCTTAGCTAGGGGCTTTCCCGAACCCCTGCAAACCCTCCAGCAGCCCACCCATGCTCCCATCCCTTCACAATCTAGGACCCTGCCCCGAGAGACACTTCCACGTTGAAAGCACCGGTCAGTGCTTGCCCTGTTTCTGCTTCGGAGTCGCCAAATCGTGCCGCAGCACCGGCCGCTACCGTCAACAAATCCACCTCCGATTCGACGAACACAACAATTTCAAAGGTGAGCCAGTGGGGCAAACTCCTCCACCCAAGGACAGGACAGGGCGGTCCTCCCTAGCCCCCTTCCTGACCTCTTTGGCTTGTTGCATCCCCCTTTGTTCCCAGGGGTGAATGTGACCACGCTCGATCATCCCGGCACGCCTCCCCTCGCCTCGACGCAGATGCACATCGACCGCAGCGCGCAGGAGTTCCAGCTGGTCGATCTCTCTCGGCGCTTCCTGATGCACGACTCCTTCTGGACGCTGCCCAAGCGGTTCCTGGGGAACAAGGCAAGGGCAGCAGATGGCACGCTTCCCGGATGCCAACCCATCACCTGACACCTGGGCACCTTTGAATACCTGCTTATCCTCTAGCAACCCACTTTCCCTGCAGGTGGATTCCTACGGAGGCTCCCTCCAGTACACGGTGCGTTACCACCTGAGCCGAGGAGAGTCAGAGCCTGTCCGGAAACCGGACGTCATCCTTGTGGGCAACGGGCAGAAGCTGCTTTACCGGCTACCGGTTCATCCTGAGCCCTTTGTGGCCAACAAGCGCCAGGTCGATTTCACAGAGGTGAGTGCCAGGGGAGCCAGGGATGACCTTTATCAGGCTTGGAGAGCTGCCAGGCCGATAGCTTCCAAACCCCACATTGTAGCAGCAATTACTTGACAAGAAGTCAAGAACAAATCTTCACACTAATTAAACGAACTAATTGTCTCCTGCAAACACCACTCCCCTTTTGCTCCTCTTTATTCCCTATGGGAGGGGCCATTCACCGTCCACCTGAGCCTTTACTCCCGAGTTGACCCTTGTTCCTTAGCTGTTCCCTTCTTCTGGCAGCTCTGTGCATGCGCACACCGGGAACAGGCTCCAGCTGCTCTTCTTCCCCACTGATCTCCAACTCCGAAGGCAGCTGATAACTGTCAGGCAGCCCTGGCCCCACCTCTGCCTCCGATGCAGAGCCCTCATCAGAGCCATCCCCAGACTCCAGGACTGGCCCAGGCTCCACCCCAACCTCCTCACTGTCCGAGTCTGCTGCCAGCTCCTCTGGCCGTTGGCGGGCCACAATAGGGAGATGGAAGTGGAGGAGGAGAACATTGCTGGGAGGGTCTTCTGAGATGGACCCCATAAAGACACCCCCCCACACATCAAATGGGACATAGCACTCCCAATATTTTAGTGCTTCCAGCGATTCAGGATGCCGTCCATAAAGCTGCCCCTTTCCATCCTCGTAATAACCAAGTTCTGAAGTAGATCTTGCTTCGAAGCGGAAACCGCCCTGACCAGCAGGCCGCTTGGGCTCCTACCTGTGGCTCAGAGAAATAAACCAAGCTGCGGGCCACGGGAGAGCGAATTCACACGCATGTCTGCTTCTGGCTGAGACCGGCGCTCTCTGATTGTGTTTTGTGCCGATAGGGGAGCTGGCAGAAGGAGTCTGGGGGGTCCGTCAGCCGAGAGGAGCTGCTCCTTACCCTGCAGAACCTGGAGGCCATCATGATCCAGACGGTGTACGATAACCGGATGGCCAAGGTGGGACTGAGCAACGTCGTTATGGACACCACCACCACGGAAATCACCGGCCTGGGTGTGGCGCATCATGTGGAGGAATGCAGGTGCCAGCCTGGGGGAGGGGATTGGAGGGGGGTGGGCTACTTCTGGAGAATCTCTAGAACCAAAATCTATTTGGGGAAGAATGACTACTGGATCACACATTCCCCATAATCAATCCTGTTCTGGAGTCAGACAACGCCTTTAGCTTATTCCCTGGTTTGTTGTAGGTCCGAGGGTCTAAACGGGGAGGAGAGGGTTAACAGAGTGTGTGTGTGTTATCTCCCACCCCCATCATAGAGATGGGAGCCTCCAAGAGCTGGAAAAACAGGGCCACTCTAGGATTCCTCTCAATTCCCTCTCCCCCCCCCCCCCCCCCCCCGCTTCCCCTCTGATCGGGCAGCAGAATTTTCTGCGCTAAAATAATATTTGCCTGGAGGGGATGCGGTGGCTCAGCAGCTAAGGCGCTGAGCTCGCCGATCAGAAAGGTCGGCCGTTCGGCGGTTCGAATCCCTAGCCCCGCATAACAGAGCAAGATCCCGTTCCTGGTCCCAGCTTCTGCCAACCTAGCAGTTCGGAAACGCGTAAAAAGAAACGCAAGTAGAAAAATAAAGAGTCCCACTTTGGGTGGGAAGGCAACAGGGTTCTGTGCACCTTCGGCGTTTACTCATGCCGGCCACATGACCACGGAGACGTCTTCGGACAGCGCTGGCTCTTCGGATTTGAAACGGAGATGAGCACTGCCCGCTAGAGACAGAAACGACTAGCACATAGGTGTCAGGGGAACATTTATTGCCTTTATTACGTTAATATTTGCCTCCCTGCGTGGAGCGGCCATTTTTTCTAGACCTGTCTAGGATTCCCACAAATACTATTGTTCCCTCTTTGTCCAGACCCGGTTGTCTGCATTCCAGTGGTGGAGGAAAGACACTTACCCTGAGTAGACCTATCGGGCTTGGCTGTGCCTTGAAAACCCCAGCTAGGCACCTCCGGGCTTCCATCCAGAGCCGTTCTGAAATAGCCAGAACAAGGGCATGCTTTGCACTAACCCTTCATCCACCTTGCCTTCTGTCTCTGCTGGCAGAGGCAGCTGGTACTTGTAGCTGCTGCTACTGTCGGCTCCACTCATCCTTCCTTCCACAGGTGCCCCGTCGGCTACTCTGGTCTGTCCTGCGAGCAGTGCGAGCCTCACTTCAAGAGAGTGCGCGGCGGATTCAACCTGGGCATCTGTTCCGGTTGCAGCTGCCATGGCCACTCCAGCTCCTGCGACCCATTCTCGGGCTACTGCCTGGTGAGCCGCTGGATGGTGGGAGTTGGGGCAGGGCAGGGCAGGCCCTGAAGTTTGCGGGGTGCCCCCAAGAGATGCTTTTAGACTTAGGGTGCCGACTAGAGAAAGTTTGAGAGTAATACATCCAGGAGAATGGCTGGGAAACTTTTCAAGCAGCAAAACCTGTGCCACAGTGGCGCAGTGGTTAGAACGCGGTATTGCCGGCTAATTTCGCTGACTGCCATCAGTTCGATTCTCACCAGCTCCAGGTTGATGCAGGCTTCCCTCCTTCTGAGGTCGGTAAAATGAGGATCCAGATTGTTGGGGAAAATAGGCTGACTCTGTAAACCGCTTAGAGAGGGCAGTAAAAGCACTGTGAAGTGGTATATAAGTAAGGGCTACTGTTAAGTAATGGTGTTGCATTGTTTGGTGCACAGGGCAAATATATATATATATGAAGATTTGCACTCTTCTGTCATTTCCCCCGCCCCCAGCACACTGCCCCTTCTCCTCGCCTGCAAACTCTTCAAATGCATCTATTTGGAGTCCGGGTAACCGCCAGTGTATGAAACTCTGGGGAGATCCCAGATCCAAAAGGCAACGACTCTCGGACGAGAGCAGAGTCCGGCCTCTAACGGCCCTTTCCTGCCCCTCCTCCTCTCTCTTCCTACAGAACTGCCAGCACAACACGGAAGGGCCACGGTGCGATAAATGCAAGCTGGGCTTCTTTGGCGATGCCACCCAGGCCACCCCGGCGGCCTGCCGGCCTTGCCCGTGCCCGTACACCGAAGCTCCACGCAGGTGAGGGAGGGGCGTGGTTACCTTGGGGAGGGATGCTTGGGGCAGCTTCAGCATACACCTCTGCGCAGATTCCTGCACTACGCTACGGTGGCGCAGTGGTCAGAATGCAGTATTGCAGGCTACTTGTGCTGACTGCCGGCTGCCTGTAATTTGGCGGTTCGAAGCTCACCAGGGGCAAGATTGAACTCAGCCTTCTATCTTTCCGAGGCGGTAAAATGGGGACCCAAAATTGTTGGTGGCAATATGCTGACTCCGTAAACTGCTTATTATAAAGCACTGTGAAGCGGTATATGAGTTTAAGTGCGATTGCTATTATTAAAATACTAAATGTTTGGCCCAGTGGGAGGCCCATATTAAAACAACATACCTCAGGGGTGGCCAGAATCTGAAAATGACATTTAATACAGCACGATTTCTGACTAAAATGCTCCGACTGAGATCGGCATAGGTGGGCCTGATTGGGATAGATTTCAGGGGTGATAAAGAAATATAATTTCCTGTCATTTTATTCTGTTTTATGACATTTATGTGTCAAATTATTGTATTTTGCCCTACTCTCATTTTAAACGATTTGTTCAGAATTTTATTGGTAATATGTGTTTGAACCTGTACGTTGATGTAGCCTGTAGGCTAATAATACACACACACACACGCACGCACACACACAAACCTTCTACTATCCATCTATCTATCCATATCCATCTATCATCTATCTATATCTATCTATCTATCTGTCTGTCTGTCTGTCTATCATCATCTACCTACCTACCTAACTGTCTATTTATCTATCATCTATCTATCTATCATCTACCTACCTACCTGTCTAGATTATCTATCTATCTATCTATCTATCTATCTATCTATCTATCTATCTATCTATC